CTTTTGGACTTTTTTCATTAAATCATTGTATGATTTGGTCAGATTTTGAGTTGTCACACCACGCAAATACCTCTGCAGTTCCAGTGGAGTCAAAGCCGTTATCCATTGAAGCATTTGGTTGACAGAATCCCTCTGTTTCCAGAGTTCCGGGATAAGACCATTAGTAAAGGACTCCCTGTCCGAAGGTTGCAGATCCCCATTCTTCAAGGCTGCCACATCCAAACCATTTCTTGCACAGTAAGGTCCCCCCCAAAATGCTTTTGTTTAACAAAACATTATCTGTCAATGGAATTAAAAACATTCTTAAATCTCTGTTCTTATAATTGTCACACTTAAAAATTTGAGCACAAAGTAAAGATCACTGCTCAGTCATAAACATTACTCAGACATGTTAATAGCTAGCACCCGAAGCCCACAGATTTTCTCTTTGGTGGAATAATATACAAGCAGAATATTAAACAAAAGGATACCTATATACAATATTCCAATAATAATGGCGAATTCAAGCTGGGCATGAACATATTCAACACAGTTTACAGCTGCTGAATACAACAATCACCAAGCTTCTGCTCCAGCAGGAAAATTGTTACATAACAGCCCGAGCAGCCAAAACTAGCACATTTCACTTTCCTTTTTGATATTTGTATGTATAACTGTAAGTGAAGCATAAAAAAATCTCAATAAAGCAAAGTAATATCTGCTTACCTGCCGTTTTATTCGAATCCGAAAGGCTTGTTGAAGTTGATGGCCCCTGGCAAACTTGATCCTTGCTGTGCGCCATGACTTCTCAGTGCGCGTTGGAACTCACATATTATAACTTGCTCTCCGGCGCATGAAAGCACGTCAAATTCGACTTATTTTTCGCTAAACAAAAACCTTAAAGGCTATAAGATACTACAGCTGTAGTTTAAACCGAATAATGATAATAGATCTCTTCGAAAACCGCTCCTAAGTCAGATAATCAACGATATTTCATGAACTACGGATGTTTGAACAAAGAAACTACTGCCTAGGAGTCCCCTGATCCTTTAGCCCTATTGTTTCATACATTAGCTATTGTTTTTCAGCCAGTAAGCACTGCGAAATCGAATTTTGCCTTCCCCGGGTCAGGTCTGGTTTTGTCAAGCATGGCGGCTACACTTCAGTTGCGATCCCTGACGCCGAGTGACGGTGAAGTTGGATTATGAGCAATAGAAATACGGTACCAATCACGATAAAATTTATAGGTTTTATTCTCTAAGGTATCTTCTAAAGGTAGGTGAATTTTAATTGCAGAAGAATACAATATATTAACGAGAATAAACGGAAAGTTTGGGATCGGTAATGTTTTGGCTCGATTTCGCGTGGGGAAATCACGTGACTAAACTCCCTAATCTCGGCTTATCGCAGAAATCCATCGCATTCTTCTCTCTCTCGTGAGCTCTTCCGTTTCGTTGCCTTGATGAGTATAATTGCAGGAATTCGAAATGTGGCAACCGCTTTCCCTTTTCCAGTTTTCCGTCCGCAATCAACCATAGCGCAAAGCACCATAGTGAAATGACTGAAATGAAGAGATTTGTTTACATTTGAGGGATGCCAACATGGCGGACAAAGAAAAATCACGTGCGTGCAAACAAAGAATTTTACTGCATGTCACGCAACACACACATGATTCTCATGATTGTCTCATGAACTACAATTTATGCAGTCTATAACGCCATATTGCTTGCTGAGATGAGAAATTGAAACCCTGTTTTGGGGGCTTTTCCTAATATTTGGCTGCATGAAAGGCTGGCATTTTCTGTCTTAGAGCTTTTGGAGACTGTTAATTTTAGCGCAGTTCTTGGTGCGTATGAAGTAAAAGAACAACTACCAAGTGGACTGTTTGTTGTAGAGATGTTGGTAGATGGATACTCGTTATTTGACATACCTTTGTTCTGTTCTGCAATTGATATTTTCCCTTTGTATATGATGTAGTTAATTTTTTATCTCATTTAATTTTGTTTTTAACCAGTTACTAATAGTTTTTTCTAACTAGTTTATTTTTCCTAACTAGTTAAATTGTATCTTAATTATAAGTTATCTAGGTACATTTTTTGGCTGGTTGATTTTTGTTTGTGTAAGAAGTTATTTTTATGAGACCTGTTATTTTTTTTTTAAGTAAATGATCAAGGGTTTTTTTGTTTGTTTGAGGAGGGTTATGATTAGTTTAGCTTTCTTTTAGGGTTAGGGTTAGCTATTTGTTTTGAATAAGGTTAGGGTTAGGGTTAGGGTTAGCTTTCATTAAGGGTTAGGGTTAACTATAAGTTTTGGGTAAGGTTAGGGTTAAGGTTGGCTTTCATCATCAAGGGTTAGGGTTAACTACTAGTTTTGGGTAAGGTTAGGGTTTGCTTCTTCATAACAATTGAGTTTGTATTGAGTATCTCCATGGAATAATTTACATTTACCACGATGAATAACAATCTATTTCACAACATGTAGAATGTTCTTTAATATTCGTAATAACATAGATACTTAAGAAGCCATATTGGCTTCATTGCATTATACTACATGCTGTTAATTACAACACTGATGTCATGTCCGTTCTAATTCAATTGTCTACAGCGTACAGAGAACTTTGTGCAGCTTACTTTTCGGTGCAATGACCTTGTTATTTCCGGTAACAATTTCTTCGCCCTTTAGAGTCCATCCTCTCCGTTTTATAGTTTTTTATATCACGTTCGGAAACTTCGGCATATGTTTTATGTTCTTTGCCTTGTTCAAATTTCATAATTCTTCGCATTTTCATAAAATGAGTCGTCAATATAAACTGTAACGTTGCTTTATCCAGCCTTTAAGGATTCCCAGAGATCTTTTAAGGAATCATTTGGTTACTCTTTTAATGAAGTTGGGAGAACTGTTTGGCACTGAGTAAATTTAATAGAGGGAGGACAAATATTAAGACCAAATTTATTGCGTTCTAGGAAAACATTGCTCAGTGTTCCAGATATCGGAATATCAAGCCATTTTTGAATATAGCCATTCACTACAGAGTTGAGATGTTCCGTTATCCAGGTTTTGAATATATTAGCTATAGTGAAATGGCAGGACAATTTTGATAGGACATAGCGGCTATACAGAAGAAGTTTGTGTTTAGGATGTAGTGGCTTTATATCAATGTCATTCATCAAGTCTTGTACAAGAGAGGACAATGCAGACATGTGTTGGTTGTTAGACATGTTGAAGTCAAAGAAGCGACCTAAGTAACGAAATGATTCACCCATTTCCACACAGGGAATTAGAACTCCATTGATCGACAGTTTGAGTAAATATTGGACAGATTTAGTGCACAGTTTCCGTATTCCCAGAGTAGAACATTTATCAACTGTTATTATCATGTTCGACCAATTACACCAGATTTTAAAGTGGTTGATTAGGTGTTGATTTTCTGATTCCTGACCGCTTATGACAGCGGCATCGTCAGCGAACTGGAACCAGTGGATGGGATTTAAGAACTTGAGGGAAAAGCCAAATTGACGGTATTTTTCAGATTTAATATGCTGTAGAAACGTGTTAAAACACAAGTTGAAGAGAAGTGGTCTTAGGCAATCACCCTGAAGTACACCACGACCAACAGATATAAACGGAGTGCGAAATTCATTTGTAAGAATAAAGGTTTTGAAGTCAGTGTAAAGACTTCACCAGTGATTTGATATGATCGGGAATGTGGTGGTAATCAAGAGCGGTTTGAATCAAGTTGTGATGAACTTCACTAAAGGCGTTTTTAAGGTCCAAAAGAGTAATGATGAGTGAACGCTGTTTGGTACGAGCTTTGTTAATGATATCAGCCATTTGAGCAGTGTGCTCAAAAGTTCCAGAAAGACCTGGTGTAAAGCCTTTTTGAATTTCCTATTCAATGTAGTTGTTAGTGGAGAGGAAGTTGAAAATGGCATTACGAAGACGCGAGGTAAAAACCTTTAAAGGCACAGATTGTAAAGTAATAAGATGGAAGTTAGCAGGGTCATTAGCGTTTTCCTTTTTATGGATGAGGATGGTGAAGGCTCACTTCCACTCGCTTGGGACAGATCCAGTTGACCAAGCTGTGCGTATAATTTCAGATAAATAGGTGCAAAGAAAAGGACATCGTTTGAAACAAATTATTGACAGTTGATCTTGGGGAGAAGGAGAACCAGACGCCTTCATTTTTCTAATCACATTTGAGATCTGTTGGTATGTTGGAGGTTCAAGGTTAAACGGAATTACAGGATCTGATAAAGTTGGTATCCAGCTTGCAAGGTTGAAAACTTTAGTCAGATTTACTGACGAAAGAGTTCTTGCAAAGTAATCAAAACACTCATTCATGGAAAACGAAGGGAGGATTTCATCTTTTTTGTTGAAGATCTTTTTGAGATATCCCCAGAAATTTTTAGAGATGGAATAACCATGATTCATCAGGTCAGCATTGACTTGACACGACGTTTTGTCTCGTAGTATGTCACGCAATAAGCGAGATACGTATTTGATTTCTGTGATGTCGGCGTTAGCAGACTGCTTCAAGACTTAGAGAGATTTCTTCAGATCATTTTTAGATTTGCCTTCGTATTTCCTTATCAGGCCTTCCTCAGGACCTTGTGCAACTTGACCAAAATTAGCACAGAAATAGTCATAAACAGTGTCGTTCAGAAGTTTAAGGCGTGAGCTGAGATTCTGAACAGTGATTGGAGGATTCAGAGATAATACGGATTTAAAATATTCGTTGGCCGTTAACTATTGTTCTTCAGATTTAGGTAGATTTATTCCCTTTTTAATATCGGGAAAGCAATGGTCTTCAGGTTGAGGGGAAGGGACACTGGAGGCCATCAAAGGATCACCTACATCGCCAGTTTCTTGGTCGGTGAGTACGGCATCATTGAGGTCAGCACGAAGTTGATCATTCAAACCAAAACAACTCTACAACTCCTTTG